ATAAACATGAAAGAAACAACTGTCACAACAATAAAAAACAGCATATTCTTTTTAAAATATGAGGTCAACATGTTTTTTTCAAAAGAATTTAACTTAAGAACATTTATTTTTAGATATTTCTGTTTCATTTTTATTTGATATTTCAGACCTTACAAAAACTGAATCAAAAATTTTATTTGTAGGTAAAATATAATTGTAATCATTTACAATACAAGATGAAAGAATTGATGTAATCATAAAAATTTCGCATCGATGCACCTCATGACTTACAGTCTGTTAATTATTAATAAAAATAAAAATAAAATTAGTAAATACACTATTGAGAAGATAATTTGAAATTAATGGAATTGTCAATAAATGTTGTAACTATTGTTTTAGTCAAAATTAATTAGTTTTAAAATAGATTCTTAATATATTTTCTTAATAGATTCTTATATTTTATACTTTTCTTTGTTTTTGATCAGATTCTGCCTAACATTTAAACTATACAGTAAAGAAAAGTCAAATTGAATAAATTGAAGAATAATAAAATAAATTTAGCGAGTATTTCAGTTAGTTATTTCAGTTATTAAAACCATCTTTTTTAAAATTGAATACCAAAACTTATTATTGCACTTCATTTTTATAATAAGGGATTTAATCAGCAAAATTTCGTTCAAAAAGCATAAAACTTCGGTAATAAACTATTTCAATCAAAAAATAACATACATATACAAAAAAATCTGTCAGTCGAATTGAGAACCGCTTTTTGTTTGAAGTTGTGTGAAGATAAGGTGCGTATAAAAATATTACCGTAGGTATTGTAGACGACTCTAGATTTCTTTGCCTATAGGTGACTCTTTCGTCCAAATCCTCATAGAGTTTATCGACTATGTTCTCTATTCTTTTCGCACTTTGTTCGTCTAAAACAGGGTTCCCTATTTTCATGACGCCGACATCTCTTTTTGATCTCCTGCTTCTGTAATTAGGTCTATCGGCGGATTCAGGCACCAGTCTTTGTAATTTGTCGTTTTCGAGATTGAAAATACGACACATGTCCAATGTGTCTTGTCGTTTCTTTTCGATAACTTTTCTATCAACTAAAAGTTTTAATTATAATTTATTAATCAAGTAATAACGATCCCAAAATGTGAAGAATTATTTGGGTTTTGCTAACCGGAAATAGAGGATAGTGTTATTTTTTCAAGAAATGATGACGACTCTACAATTACGGAAAACATGTCTTCTAAATCTAATACTAATATTATAATAAGGAAAGATTTGATTTTTTGATTGCATTCAATAGGCTCCGACACTACTGGAAAGATTTTACAAATTCTTTCATCTATGGGAAGAAAACATCATGGGCTGTTTAGTTTTATAACAATAAGCTCATTTTTGACTTTAATTCACCTATTTGTGAATTATAAGAATCGTTTAAATATAATATTCGTATTGTAATTTTGGACTTACGTTTTTGCACACTTAGACTAGGTATCAAACATTTAACACAAACTAGATAAATACTGATAAGAAATAAAATTTTTATAATGTCTAACATTTTTAAAGAAAATCTAGAACATTTTTTTATGTATTGCAATAGCAAGTGAGTTCCAATTTTCAATGGCGATAAAAGTTTATCGAGTTTGTTTTATTGCCTTTGAAATTTCTTTGTTGTATACGGTGTAACAATTACTTTTCTTGAATACATTGCTGTAAAGTTAATCTGTTAACTTTATACGATGCTCTCTACGCTTAATATTCTGACTGCACTTTACCAGCTGCCTTTAAATGCAGTTACGATAATGTAGTAGCTGTCGTATGGCGTGGTAATATCATTCGTGAAGAAAAATACCGGATATAACAATTCACATAATAGAATGTACCTTGTAGGTAAATTTCATATGCCAAAGTAGCTCTATGCTTTTGTCATTCTGCATTTGTTAAGATTTAACTCCAGTATTGCCAAGGATTTTTCCACAATTTCTATCTAAGTAATGGGACCAACCAAGAATACATTATTTCTCGAATTTATATCCCGGAATCGAAATCGTCGATAGTTATACAAGATGCTAAATTGACTCATTATTAGGAGATAGTTTTACTTCCGAGCTTTATATAGGAATAGGGAGTAAATATAAACCGAGTACTCGTAATAATGAGTTTTAGCGCGGGTCGTGTGTTACACTCTTCATTTTTTCATTTCGCGCTTCAAACTTTCTAAAGAGTTCGCTTTATTTTTCTTTAGTTAGCCACACATTTTGTTACTAAGGTCCGAATGTCCACTTAAAAAAGAAAAGTTCAAAAGTCTTCCGAAGTACGGATTTTGAGATGATCAATTTTTGGTCACCCTTCCTACGACCGGGTCATAACCTCCGTCATGCAATCTGATCTACAAATATCGACCTTTTTTATGATAATTATTAATACCAAAGAAATAAATATATTCTGTGATTAATACACTGAAAGAAAAGTTTTGACATACCAATACAATAACGCTTTGTTTCAATTATATTGAAATCATCAATCAAGAGGTCAAGATCAATTGTCTTTTGATTGGTTCGGTTGAATGACATTTGTTCGATTGTTGGATGTACTTGCAACATTTCTTGAACTAACATAATGCTTTATATGTATTAATACGTAAATAATTGCAAGGTGTAATATTATTATGTGCTAGGACTTCTTGGGTTTGTTGAGTTAAATATTCGGAACAACTTTTACTATGGTAGCAACACTGAATTCACAAAAAAATAATCAGCTGTTTCACACCGTTGACGATTATACATTACAATTTTATATGAAACAGCTTACTTTTTTCTTGAATTCAGTTTATAAAGTATATTCTAGTAGCAAGACTTTAGTTTTGAGCTAAATAACTGATAGACGGATGGATGGGCAGACGGACATGGCGAAACTATAAGAGTTCTATGCCAAAAAAATAATATTTGATGTATAGTCTATTGCTCTACAATTTTTTTATTAGCATTACAGTATTAAACACAGCGCAGATGATCCGGTTTTGCCCATTTTAAGATTACGAGCTAGTTTTGGCCAATTTCAGAGTCACGACGAAGTGAAAATTGATACATCGTAACTGTTAACGCCATAAGCTTTGTCGTAATGAATTATTTTGAAAACCGTTCACGGTGGTTGAATATATTTGTCTATATTAACTATTTTATCTTTGGTATGAACAAAGAATTATTATTATATGTTTGTTAGAACGCTTTAAAGTTCCAAATGGCCAAAAAGGACAAAAAAGACACGGGTCTTCTGCCCTAGTTAGGTACACTTACTTATTATACTTTTTACAGCATTTATAAACCACGAAGGCTTGTGCTAATAGAGATTGTATTTTTTTGAAAAGACCCTCTGTGAATCCTGCAAGGAGAGCTTTGGAACCAACCTCTATATCAGTATATTTATTACTATTTAATACACACATTATATACCACACCTCTAGAGGTCGTCAGTCACTCTAAGGGTAGCTCAATCAGTTAGTGCTGTTGTCTATGAAGGAAATATTTTGATATGCGCAATAATTCAAAAACTGTGTAGTAATAATGTAGTAGTAATATTTGCATTTTTAACCGAAGTCAAAATCGAAAAGGAGGAGGATGTGTTCGACGTCGATGTATTTTTTTATATGTTCACAAATTTTCCCGTTAATTGTGGACCGATTTCGAAAATGATTTTTTCCATTTAAATTTTATTGAAATCAAATCAGTAGTTTTCTTTTTCTAACGATATATGTTTTTCATCTAATATCACCTAAATATTTAGTTGACATGTTCATTATCAGCAAAAAAAAAAAAGATTGAGTATTTTGCGTTGTTTCAAAATTCAAAAGGAGGTTTTTCTATGTTTGACGGATAATTTTTTTTAATGTAATTAGATATTTTTATCGATTTCTTCTTGAATTATGAATCAATTTATATTTCTATTAAATTGATTCACAATGTTGTTATCCCGCTACTTTGCCTGTAGCTTCCTGTAGATGAAAGACTTTTATAATCGGTCCAATAGTTTTGATGCAAAAAGAATTATAGAGTTAACAAAAGAACTTGAGAGAGAAAATGTTTTACAAACACACTTAATTTTAGTCCTTTATCACTTAAAACTAATTAATTTATTTTTTAGTTAAATTATAACTAAAAAATAACTATACTTTATTTGTTTTGTTCAAAATAATTATTTTTCTATTAGTGGTTTGCATAATTCTAAAACAAGTATTTTTACAAATTAACCGCATGTTCTCGAAACATGATGTCATAAGCTATAAAAATCCCTTAGTATTGTAATGTGGTGTTCGGTGATCCTTGCTACCATTCGAAATATAGATAAATAGCTTACATTGTAGTAATGATGTGAGGTTGTCTAATACCTATGTCGAAAGGTGATCATAATTGAATTATCATTTCACTGTTTAAATGCAGGTAATAATTTCATCGGGCAACGTCGATGGCGCTAATTACTTTGATATTACGGAAGCGTTGTAGAGTTGTGGCCCAGTAACTTTCATCGGTTCGGTTCAACAAAATCGCATGATTATTTCATTGATTTCGTAATGCAAAGAATTATTGCCTACCTTTTTTTCATTCTGTGATTCCTTTTATGAAGCGAATTTGAAAATCTAAATTGAAGAATTATAATTAACATTTGCTACGGCAACTTAAAAAATAAATGTTTCAAATTTCTATTTAAGGATATGAAATAAACCATGAAGAAAATAAAGCTCTTGATAAAAATTCTGGCGACGTTTTGTTTTTGAATTTATATATATTTTTTAATTATATAAGTTTAAATATTTTGACAGTCAATTACAATGTTGAAGTTTGCTAAATTTAATTTAAGTCTTACGAATTATTAACTATTTACTGAAACGATTTATTTAAATTGCACTGCTAAAATAATTATCTACATTAAAACTTTGAGCCTCTTCAGCAACAACACCTGCACCTGACTAAATTATTCGCAAATACGAAAGAATTAGAAAGTTCATAACTTTTATTCCGTTCAACAGAAGTTGGACAAGGTTGGCGGCGAGTCAGTCAGTCGTTTATTGTGTGCCATTGCGTTCACACGTTTCATATTTGTGCCGCATCTAGTGTGTACGGAACTTTTTCACGCGTTCCACGTGCTGTCTTGTGCTGATTTGCAAGGAGGATTTAACAACCAAAGAGTAAGCGTTTACTTTTTGATTCCTTTTTTAAATTCTGTTTATTTTTTATAATTATTTGAACGGATATGAGTATTGACGACGATTGCTTGTTTTACCGGCGTTTTTGCTGACGGTTCATTCCATAGCAACATTGGCAACGAATGTCAAAACTTTTATTTTAATATGTGGTCATCACAGAAAGTGCGTCGAGTATGGGTTTGTCAAAACCAGTTTTATTGAATGAAAAGCACTGTACCGTTATAGACTTATGCTGTTTTCTTATTCGAACAAATAAAAGTCTCATTCGTATTTTAAGTATTTATAATTCCAAAGAAAGACAGGTTCTGATTTAATCGACTTGGTTTACGTTGATTTCATAACTTTTTGTGGTAAAAGAATTGCGTTGTGAGTTTGTTTTTGATGAGATATTTTTTTCTCGTTAAAACGAAAATTTTAGTCGCTAATGTTTCGAAAATAACCCTAGATCTAGCGAAAAAGTCGCCAGAACGGTAACACTGTTGCTAAACCAGTATTTTCATGTCGTTATATAAACTTAAAAAATTGGGACAAGAAAGTTTAAGATTTCTATAGGAATGTCTGAATAATATAAGTATCTATCGTGCGTTATATCTTTTTTACTCGAATCTGTGCTTGAACTGAAATAATATACGACAAATTAATGGACAGGAATATAGGTTTGTTCAACTTTAGAACGCTCAAATATGGAGATAGGACATAGGATATCTTTTGTCGCGGAAAAAGGGAATGAAGTGGTTAAAATAGGGCATAAAAATTTGTGTGGAGTTTGAAGTTAGTCGCAACTATACCACGCAGATGAAGTCGCGGTCAAAAATAGGTACTTTAGTATACTTACTACATTCCTTCCTTCAAATCATATAATAAAAAAATATTGTAGGTTTTAGTGTCGTGTCCTATATTATGCAAATGCGTGACGTTTATTTGAATTGACAAAAACAAATATAGAAATAAAAACCTTAGCATAATAATAGTTTAATTAATAGAACTTGAATCTATGTTTATTTATATTTTGTGTTTAGTTAGTGTAGTCGTTGTAAAAACCGTATTTTAAAGTCACCTTCGTGAACTTTTCCTCATGCAAATTATGTGTAAAATACCTACATGTTTTTTTTCACAAAATGATTAATGATTAGTCTATTTTGATAGCATATTTTGCACAAATAATAGCACATTTTTTGGCGTGTATCAAAAATGCGAGGCTGCTTGTAAGCTATGACCATGCCTCGAGTAGCAGAAAACACCTGAGTAAGAGATCAAAGATTTTTACATACTTTTACTACTTTATAACCTACCTACTCTAAAGCGTGAATAACAAATATAGAGTTCAAGCCTTGGTGTTCGGTATGCAGTAACGGATGTGGCTGCGATATAGCCCTTTCTCTACGTTCTACTGAATAGAAAAAATGCTTAACACATTTTTATATGCAATCAGATGACGAAATATTTTTAATTGAGTGTTTTTGCCGCCGAGCAATAAATAAGACAAGCGATAACACTGATTTTAGTGACCGATGTCCTTAAATATTGTTTGTATTAGACGCCATAACAATGTAAATTTTTCGCAATATCATTAAAACACCACTATAAATTTGGGTACCAAAATTCAGTTCACTAGAATTTTTCCGTAAATGCAACCGATAATGTCTGGAACTAGAAAAGACGCCGGCGGACGCTTGGCTATCGCTTTGTGATCAGCCTTGCAATTGCAAATCTATAAAATAATTTAACTTATTTATGATCTAAAATCGCCTTAGGTAGAGTCAGATAAGGTTAAGATCGCACTAAGTGCACGCGGTTCACGTATAGCAGAAAAAGTAAATACAACAGAGCGGTTTGAAACTCCAGTTTAAACGCACGTATTTGTTGGCAGTGCGGTCTCAGCCTAAAAACTACTACAGCCAAAAGCGCGGTCTACCAGAGATAGGTAAATACCGGTGAGCGTACGTAACGTAATAGTTACGTGTCTTGTTACGTGAGCGTCGGTCACGTCACGCCACCGCCACCACTAGTTGCGCTGCATTCGGCCACTGACACTGACTATTAACATTTTCGGAAGCAATATGAAAATAAAACTTAAATATCATGGTTTTCTCTTTGGTATATACTTATATATTTTACTAGCTGTTGCCCGCAACTTCGTCCGCGTGTTTATATGCAATATATGAGACTTCTTCTTGTTAGTGATGAAGTTTTATACAAACCATCAACCCTAAAAACTATCCCTTAGGGATCGAATTTTGCAAAATATTTGTTTTTTCATAATTAGTTTAAGTAATATTATAAATATAATAAGCATAAAAGTGTGATTATCGGTAATAGTTAAAATAAAAAAGTGTAATTAGTAATAATATATTAAACATTACTAGAAAAAAAATGGCTTTATTTTCGTTTAAGTACTGTCTACACTCGTATTATTTTTAAGATAAATAAAAACTCGTGTTTGCGTTTAACACATAATATGAAATTATAGCTGTTTTTCCGCGAGTTCGTTCGCGTAAATTATAGTCTATGATACTCGCGTATGATGTAGCTTCCTGTAGGTAAAAGGATTTTTAAATCGATCCAGTAGTTTCGGAGCCTACTGTATTTTAAATCTATTTTAAAGATTATTTTCAAAGTACACACAATTTTAGATTTTGATCCAAAAAAACTTAATAGGCGACGTAGTAATGTTGTGGTCAAATCATTTAGGCCTCAGCCTTCGCAGAACGTCAATATAACAGTCAATCAGCTTATTTATATAATAAATTAAATAGGAAACTAAATATATATGATAAACAGTTGTATGAATGTAAAGATATATTAATAGAATTCTTAAAAACTCTTACATATGAGGAAACTGAGGACATATTGAAAAGAATTAACTAAATAAGTACTATGTGTATGTCACAGTCGAGTGGCGTGGTTGGCCGGCTGACTGGGTTGCTAATTGTGCCGCTTGGCTGTGACATATACATATACATACAAATACAAATATATAATATATATGTAGATAACAACACACACCCACAGGCACAACACATAACACAAAACACACACTCACAACACACAATACACACATTCACAACACAATACTCACCCATTTCATTCATTAATTTTGGTTCTTGTTAACATTAAAATATGTACTTGCTACAAAGCTGGAGCGAAATGGTCCCAATACAAGTATTTTATATTACTTACTGGGATAATTTTAAGATTGTAAATGATGGAAATAATGTTAATAAAGAACATTTTTATTTTATTTACTCAATGCAAACAAACAAACAATCAAATCTTTCCTTTTTATAATGTTAGTATAGATAATTGTAATGTTTAAAATTAATACTTATGTGTTTTTTCAGAATATCAAATACATAGTGTGTTTATGTAATTCGAGAGCCAGTATAGGTACTTTTACAAACTATGCTATTCAATTTCCATTTTTCACAGTAAACTATATGCATTTAGATCACATAATACTAAACTAGATCTGGGTACTAGACAAACTTGATAGTATAAAATTATCATTGACTTCTGAACCTGTTATTTGGCCTACATAGTTTGATCTTGGATCGTATTCTTTATGTAATCATATTTTGAATATTTGTTTATCCTCTTTGTTCCCAGCAGACGAGTTATCGTGAGAACAAACTTTGCAAGTTTTTTTTTATTTACATTGTATACTATGCATGCACGATGCAAGTATAGTAGATCATCTAACAGTATCTCTCTTCGCGTCGTACTCCTCACTCTTGAAGGTCGTGACTCCTTCGCAGAATCTCTTTCTTTCTATTTCTCTTTAGTGGTTTCGGTTTTTTACTTTGTGGAGGGCTTTGTGTAGACTGGAAACAATGTTCGAATATTTTAAGATTTATAAAATTTAAAACTTTTTAAGTGATGGACTTTTTGTGATACTCTATTTATTGGTAACATGAAAAACAATCGACAAAGTGAGGTGGCGTTGACATAGAGTAGGAATTCTCGACTAGAATAGGGATGTGACAACAACAACAATTTGCCCGAAGATCTTTACGATGTATATTCTATCGAATTAAAAAAGAAGTATGATTTTTATGTAGGTATGTTCTTACGAGGTCTTGATAAATTTTTGTTTGAATATACTGATATTATAAATACTTTATTCTTTTGAATATACTAAATAATTTATCAAATGATTGCTAAACTACTGAGTTTCCCTGTACTGTATTGCTAAACTACTGAGTTAAGCAATAATTTGATAAATTATTTAGTTGACCAGACTAAATTAACCCCATTAGAACACAAATAAAAAGGGTTGAATAAAATGTTCTCTCCTTTTATACACTGTAGTCTTTGAAATGCACTCTGACCATTGAGTTCAGAAGTCAATAGGTATAGTTACGGGTGTCAGGTGACTTTCCCTTTTTTCTCTCTTAAGAACGTGTACTGAAAATCAATAATTTTCATTTGGTTTTGTGCAAAGAAACAACGTCCAAATAAGCTGTGATTAAAAAAGAAAAATCTACAACATACTTTTAAGGGCTTTATTACATCCAAAATAAAACATAAATTTACTCATAACATACTCCATTTTTCTACATTTATTTTAGCAATTATACCGTTACAGTTTTTATTGGAAAATTTGTAACATACATGAGTCATTTTATAGCTAGTCTTTATGCAGCACTTATACAATTAAAAACCATTTACAATAAATTGCGATTAATTAAGAACAGCATCCTCTGCCTTTATTTATCCTATTGCTAGACGCAATGAGATAGACAGAGATAGTCTCTTGGCATTCAGACCCTCTTAAGTGCGCCTGCAGTATCATTGCAGAGATATCGGTACAGCTTCCCGCGAGCTGCTTTCTCTCCAACTATAGAAAGTAAAGGCTTTATTACGGAATACCGCAAATGTACGTATCATGATTACTCTTGAATTATTTTTAATTACTAGTGTTTATTTCTGTTTATATTTTTCCTCTTAAATAAA